GAGATTTCCTTCCTAATCTAACCATAACTTCAACATATTTTATTACTGATTTCACGTACCACTTTTCATCAGGGCTTCCATTTATCTTATTACTACTGTCCGCAAATTCAGTTGTGCCCATCGCAGCCAAATATTTTCACGAACTTCACTTATCGCACTCAATTTATCATATAATTGAGTTTACCACCCCAGTCAAATCTAAAGCCCGTTCTCCTGAGTGGTCTGTAGTTTCATCTTCTCTCAGCTCATTTTACGATATTTAAACGATTCGGCTTGGAAATTTTGTGTAAATTGGCCCATGCATGTCATTAAACGTGACATATTGCTGAACTGTTTTTACTGCCTACTCGTCATTGTCTTAGTTTTCGATCATAACCACCTTCTCTGCTTCAATATTTGACTTTATTTTTTTCCCATATTTGTTATTTCCTCACCCTTTAAATTTAAACCACAGACGCTGCAAAGGGTCTCTTATTCTTTAATTGAGATTTTGCTCTCTGAAAGCATTGAGATTCGATCATCCCCTAATCCATCTAAATTTGGAAAAACTTCCTCGTCAACTGGTCCGTCGTCGATACGTTCATCCTTCTCCTTAAAGTCGATTCCTACGGCTTTACCAAACGTTGCAGACGCACCCGCTTCCCTTCAATCACTTTCTGAATTCAAAGAGTCTCAAACTTCTCTTCGTTCTGCCGCTATTCCTTTGGCCCAATCTGTCAGCTTTGTAGGAGCACTTGACACCCCTAAATTATTTTCCACTGACCGTTTTGGGGATCAGCCATCTGGTTCCTTTGATCTTGGATTAACTTCTCAAGGTAGTGCTCCGCCAATCACTCCCAACCCTGTATCTATTTCGTCTACTCACGGCCTTGTCGCGAATATTTCAACTCTTGACAGCTCTGCTCCAGTTGGCAGCGTCCAGTCGCATAGCTCGTCCACGACCTTGCCTAGTGTTGGATCTCCACCTGTCAACACTAAGAGACCTCTCCCTGAAGGATGCATCCCATCATCGACGGCACCTACTTGTAACCTCTCTAACAATCTATTAAAGGCAGCTTCTACACATTTCAAACAGTCCGATTCTGAAGATGCAATTACTGCAGAAGTGGCTCCGATTACTAAATCGTTAGTTATAGAGGCGGCAAAGGCTGAAACATCTCCTCCCAGCTTAACTGAACAAACCTTAAGCTCCGTCTGGCGTGTCGAATCTGATCAGAAGACCAGTTGTTTTGATCAAGAAAAAGACACTGCTCCAGGACCACCAGCCAGCCTTAGAGAGACTGATGACTTATCTTCGTGAGTCCCCTAATTTCCCTTCCACTTAATTTGGCCATCTATAAATTATTTATCTCTTTCTTGTGTTCATACTGACCTAAAGCCTCTTGAAGCAGCAGTATCAATATTAATAGTTTTTAGCCTCTAAGGCATCTTCCCTTTTATCACAAAGCTGCTGGAATCTTTTCTCCATATACTTTACTTCTTCATTATGCCTCATTATTTTATAACCATTCTATTCCGGCAAGGATTGCCCCTAAACCCTTACCTCACTAATTCCATCATAGTGTCTCTTTAAACAATTTGAAATTCTGGCTTACAATACATTCCCAACACGCAATCGTATATCCTTGAACAGCCGTTTCGTCAGCTACACTAATCGCTTTACTTTTAACTGCATTTATATTGTTGAGCCTACTTCCATTTAGAGTGTTGGGTGAATAGATTCGAAGGTCGGTTCCACCAGAAGACGACGGCGGATTCCTCTTGACTAGCTGCCGATTGGCTTTACTGGAAGATTCATGCTAACGCTGTTTACTAGGCATTCTCCTTCGATTCTGGTGAAAAGGCGCTAAGCTTTCGTACGTCATATGACGGACATCATTAGAGCGAGGTAACATCGTCACAACAAAATTCAAGCTAATGAGTCAATAAAACTCACCGACAAATCCTTAAAAAGTGGTATATATACTCTACATCTT